CTGTTGGATGAAGGAAGCAAAAAGAAAGCCAATTTATTCTTTAAAAATCTAAAATTTAGGAACCAATAATTACTCAGCTTTGAAGTGGCTGTTTTGTGGATATACATTTAAAAATCAAAATAGATGCACTGTAAGAATCAGTATAATTTATATTTTTAAAATATGTAAAATCAAGGTAATAAACTCTATTGAAATATCAATATTATCAGATAGCAGACATATCATATGTCACTCTAATAAAATAAATATTGGTATAGGAATAGACAAATAGATTAATAAAACAGAAATATAATGAATATCCCAATTTGTAGGTCTTTTTTTTTTTTTCTTCTTTGAGACAGAGTCTCACACTCTGTCACCCTAGCTAGAGTACAGAGGCATCATCATAGCTCACTGCAACCTCAAACTCCTGGCTCAAGCGATCCTCCTGCTTTAGACTCCTAAGTAGCTGGGACTATAGGCGAGTGTCACCACACCCAGCTAATTTTTTCGATTTTTAGTAGAGATGGGGTTCTTGCTCTTGCTCAGGCTGGTCTCGAACTCCTAACCTCAAGTGATCCTCCTCCTTTGGCCTCCCAGAGTGTTAGGATTACAGGAGTGAGCCACCGCAACTGGCCCAATCTGTAGGTCTTTACCTCTGGACAAAGCAGCAGTTAATTCAATGGGAAAAAGATGAAATTTTAAACAAATAATAGCATAACTGGCCAACTTTCTCAAAGGAAATAAAAATGGAACCTCATCTTACACCGTATACCAAAATATATTCCAGATGTACCAAATCCTTAAGTGACAAACAAAAAACTATGATAACCTAATTAAAAGTTAGGAGACTATATATACCTAGAAATTAGTGGTTGGGCGGCTATTGCAATCAGTTCTGGAAAACTAGAAGGCATTACAAATGAATACAGTTGATTGTATATATAAAAAATTATATAGGAAAATACACAATAAATGAAGTCAATAAAAAAACAGTTGGAGAACTTTTTTTATGGATGGTCATTTTAACAATACCTGAACCCATGGATCAACATTAGTAACACTTAAAAGTAGGTCAACTAGACATTATATATCTCTTGATATGAAGCAAAAGGAAATATACAGTAATCCTTATGAAAAATTCTCATAAAAAACTTAAAAAAAAATTGAACCTAAATATAATCACACCTCTGGATCTAACCACCAGTTTACAGGAAATATGAAGTAGAGGAGAGAGGAAAATATAAAATGATATCACAAAGATGCAATCAGCCAAATCCAGAATGTGGAAATTTCTAGGGCAAATGATCCAATCTACATTTTCAAAGAAGGGGAGTACGCTGTTACAGAGTAAAATACTTAAAAGACAATTAACCAAATGCAAGGTCTGGACCTTGTTTGGGTCCAATCCAATAAACAAACTGTAAAGAAGACATTTTTGAGATCATAGGGGAAATTTAGAAATGGACTAAAAAATAATTACTAATTTTGTTAGATATCACAATCGAACTGTGGTTATGTTGGGAGTGAAATGATGCTATACTGGGATTTGCATTAAAAAACAAATTATAGACAAAAGGTGTGGGTGTGGAGGGGGTGAGGAACAGATGAGAAAAAAATCAGCAAAATTTTTGAAGCTGGGTGGTAAGTACTTAGGGATTTCATCGTACTATTCTCCCTACTTTTGCATATGTTAGAAATTTTCCATGGTAAAATGTTTTTTAAAGTAGGAAATAAAGAAAATTTGTAAAGGTGCATTAAGTTATCAAATTTTTAAGGCATTTGAGGACTTAGACCAACAGACATTGCTTTCTGCAGAAATCTAGCTCAAAAAATATGTTTATTTATTTAATTTTATTTTTTGAAGTACGGCCATGCTCTGACACCCAGGCTGGAGTGCAGTGGTGCCATCATACCTCACTGCAGCCTCAAACTCCTGGGCTCAAGTGATCCTCTAGCCTCAGCCTCCCAAAGTGTTGGGATTACAGGCATGACCCACAAAGCCTAGAACAAACACACTTAGTTTTTATTTATCAATTTTTTTAAAAATGTCCTTTAAAAAATACACATTTTAGCACGGGAAGCACACACGAATAAAAAATTGCTAAGCCTATAGCAGAAATACAAAAATATAGAGTGATTCACTTTATAGGGGAGGGAGTATGGGGTAAAGAAGTTTCAAAGGAGATGATACAGAGACTGCATTCTGAAGGAGGAATAGTTTACCAGGAACACAAGGAAATGTGCAAAGGCACGGAGAAACGACAAAATAAGAAGTCTTTGGGAAATTACGAACAGGCCAGAATGGACTGGAGTAAGAAGAGTTTGAAAATTATTATTCTAAGTATTCGAGTTTTGTAAAAGAGGTTTAGGAAGGCATTTTATATGAAGGTTGAAGACTTAGATTAAACATGAATTATTCTTCTGAGGGAAAAACACCAAATTGTTAATTGTGGTGATTTCTGAGTGGTGGGATTAAAGATAATTTTCTATTTATGATTCTCTATATTTGTTGAGTTTTAAAAAATTTTTTCAACCTGCCTCAGGGATACAAATAAATAAATAAAATTAAAAAATTGTTTATGTGTAAAATAATAGTCCCATTATTTTAACATTTACATATAAAATATCCAATTCATATAGTATTAAATTTATATATCTCTTAGGATTAAAGAACTTAAAATTTTCTTTTAAATATTTTATACATAAAAATGTCAAAAATTCATTCACTAAAAATACTTATTTTAATTTAACAGATAGTGCGCTCAGAATGTAATGGATCTGAATTCCTTGCATACTACTGAAGGGAAGTTATGATAAAAAATTAAACACATTATTGCTTATCAATATTTCATAATAAGTATTGCTTTAATTTTGTTTGCTGCTAAGTTTTATCATGTAAAAAACTGAGGATACTTTTCAATTAAATAAAAATCAAAACTGAAGTTTGTGATGGGTTGCATTAATCCTTATTCTTGTAAAACATGTTATTTATTATTGCAAATTGGGAAAGTGGTTTCACAGAGCAGGTAAGAATTACCATAATTAAAATTTCTGGGAGGCTCTCCCAAACTGTATTCTTTGAAACCAAATGTGATCTTTTTGAGTGAATATTTTCATTTCCATAAAGAAGAGTCTTGTAAGATGTTCCGAATGTTAATTCTTAACTAAAAACACTACCAACCAGGATGTTAATACTAAGTGAAATATTGAGAGAAAATTAAATGAGATGATAAAACAAAAAAAGCTCATTTTAGGAATACTACTACTTTTCATATATGTATAAAATTCACATAAAATTTAACATTAATAGTTACCTAGACAAAAATTTAATGTAAATGAAGGATGAGGAAAGTTGAAACAAGACTTCATGTACACATAAGACTCACTTTGCTGGTGACTCAACCTAAATGGACAATATTTGGTTCACTTACAGGCTGACAGCAATCTTCAAACAGAACTATTTTGTTCATCTAGATATTCACCCTAGTTCCATTTCTATTTCTTTTCAGATGACAAGAAAATCCCATTTCTTATCCGTACAACCAGTAAGCACAAAGTGCAGAAAATACAGCTATTAAGATTTTTTAGTTTTTATAGTGAGGGTACATGATTTTGGCGATTGCCAATTGACCCCAGCCTGCCTTGTAGTAATGTACTTCACCTGAAATTAGCCCTAAAAATCAAGTAACATCTCAAAGCACTATAGATTTATTACCCATTCATTGTTTATTTTTTTAAATACTAAATAACTGTATGCATTTTTCCATTATGAAATGAATAGAAACCACATTTTTAAAAGTAAAAAGAATCAATGTATTATATTAATATACCCATTACTAACATTACTTCAATTCACTTTAAGTACAGTTTGTCTTTTTTATTTTATTCAACACCCCATATATTTCCATATTAATACTGTTTTTGCAGCCATCATTTAAATGGCTGAATAAGATTTTATTAGTGGTTTGAGCATGTTTACTTAATTATAAACCATCTGTTTTAGATGGTTAGGTTGTTTTAAAGTATTATAATATAAAGTATGTTATAATTAACACATTTATGGATACTGTTTTTCCTATATTTTGGGTTTATTTTCCTTAGAATAAATGCTCAACATTTTGAATACTTAACATTTCTAAGGCTCAATATACAACTCTCAGTATAAGAATGCCGCTGCACCTTCACCAATGAATACTGATTTTATGCCCGTATTTTACTAGGCTTTGTATAACATGTAAGCTTTGGTTCATATATTGAAATAAGACTGTACCTAAGATGCTAATTAGCACTGCTTAACTCTGAACCACTAGGTGGAGCTAAAATTACAACAGTACTTTAATAATATCAAAATTTCTCTCACAACACTATTGCTAAAATACTATAGGGAGTTTTACTTTTAGTGATAATTTTAAAGCATAAGAGACAGAACTTTAGAGTGAATTTTATTTTACTTTTTAATTTAATTTTTTTTTTTTTTGAGACAGGGTCTTGCTTTGTTGCCTGGGTTAAAGTACAAAGGTATCATAGCTCACTGCAATCTCAAAGTCCCAGGCTCAAGTGATCCTCACGTCTCAGCCTCCTGAGCAGTTGGGACTATAGGTATGTGCTACCACGCCAAGCTAATTTTTAAATTTTTTGTAGAAGTGGGGTCTCACTATGTTGTTCAGGTTGGTCTTCAACTCCTGGTCTCAAGAGATCCTCCTGCCTTGGCCTCCTAATGTGCTAGGATTACAGGTGTGAGCCACCATGCCCAGCCTAGACTGAATTTTAAATAAGAGAGTTGGAATGCGACAGATTTAGAGTATCTGTCTATGGGACAAACTAGATTTTTCAAAATTTATATGTTTTATCCTTCCCATCTTGAATGAGAAACATAATGAGATAATTTTTAGAGGTAAGTAGCTCTTAAAGAAGCCAGTAATAAAGACACCTGTGGCCAGGGAAATAGTAACATCTTCTTTAGGTGGTTTTTTAAAAGATATGTTTTTTAATTTAACAAAGCATTCTATTTTTACGATAACTATAGGAAATAGAGGAAAATCTACAGGCCTATGGTGCAAAAAATGACAACTTTAGGAAGACCATTAGGCAAGTATAATAATCCTAATAATGCCTGACATACCTACGACTATACAAGCTGTTGGGAATTTATGATTCAGGAATTCTGGAACATAGTTCTGAATCCTGAATACAACTGATAATCTAACACTTCTCACAACAGATGCCTTTCCTCTTTTTACCTCTCAAAATCACTGTCCATCAACCTTTTCCCAACACCAACACACACACACATACACACACACACACACACACACACACACACACACACACACACACGAAGTACCCTGAAGGACGGAAATGAATTTGGTGATTCTAGTTCTATTCTCTAATATATTTGACAAAGAATCAGTCAGGAAAAGTAAAAATGTATCTAGAAGTAACATTTTCCAGCCTGCCTTCTCACCTTTGTGGAACTGGTTTTACCTTCTGTCCCTCAGTAATCTTCCACCAATCTATATAGTTCAGGCCAAGGATGTATGAGTAAAGTATATATTCCTGATCCTTTGTCCCTGCCTCTCCCAGGGAATTAATGCAGTTCTTTTTCTTCACTATTCAAGTCTTTCTCCAACCTCCCAGGTAGAGCTAGGTACACAAAAGAAGTGAGGAACATGGTGCCAGAGCTGCTACTGTGACAATTCAACTGACTGTCCTCATATACAACATATCCTTTCTCTAGTAATTACTATTTCATTATATCCCCTTGATTTTTGGAACTCATTAATTGTAGGAGTCATTAGTGAATCAATGATTTTTTTTTTTTTTTTTGAGACAGAGTCTCACTCTGTTGCCCTGGCTAGAGTGCCATGGCTTCAGCCTAGCTCACAGCAACCTCAGACTCCTGGGCTCAAGTGATCCTACTGCCTCAGCCTCCCTAGTAGCTGGGACTACAGGCATGCGCCACCATGCCCGGCTAATTTTTTCTATATATATATATTTTTAGTTGTCCAGATCATTTCTTTCAATTTTTAGTAGAGATGGGGTCTCGCTCTTGCTCAGGCTGGTTTCGAACTCCTGAGCTCAAACAATCCGCCCGCCTTGGCCCGCCAGAGTGCTAGGATTACAGGTGTGAGCCACCGTGCCCAGCCTATAAAATGCTTTTGATAAAAGTAAATACAAGAACAATTATCTTCCTTCTATTATTGATACCTTTTGTTCTAAGAGTGCCCTGCGGAGGGAGACTCTCTGTTCAAGTTCCCGAAGCTCTCGATCATGTTGTGCCTCAGCTTGCATCTTGATTTTGCTCTGATATGCATTCAACAGCTCCAGTTCCTGCTGCAGCTGCATCTTCAAAACCTGGCACTCTGCTTCCTGTGCTTCATCCAAACGCAGCTGAGAGAGAAAGAAAACAGATATATCCTACTGTGAGCTATCTATTCATGACCTATGGAAAGGAGGATGAATGATAGAAGACAGATTACTCTTTTGTAGGTTACACAACTGTTCTCTCTTGTATCTTGCAGTAGACATCTCTGAGAAAGAAAGGCACAGTAACCAATAATAGCTTTATGGAGATAAAGCTATCATAAGCTATTTGGAGGATTCCTAAATAACCACATTTTCCTTAAGAAAAACCTAGAATCTGATTAGGTGATATAAAATTTTGAATCTCTGTGTAAAGAGCTTCTGGAAAAAAAAATAATAAAAAAATAAAAATAAAACTCTGAATCTCTTCCTTCCTAGTGGAAATCACTACACAACAGAGACTAGCAAACTATAGCCTACAGACCAAATCTGGGCAGCTGCCTGTTTTATCTTGTTTTTTTTTACAGCCCACTAGCTAAGGATGGTTTTTTCACTCTGAAATGGTTACATTCTGTTTATTTTTTTTGAAAAAGGGTCTCACTCTGTTGCCTGGGCTAGAATGCAGTGGTATCACCATAGCTCCCTGCAACCTTAAATTCCTAGGCTCAAGTGTTCCTCTTGCCTCAGCTCCTGAGTAGGTGGGGCTATAAGCACATGCCACCATGCCCAGTCTCTATTTTTTGTAGAGATGGGATCTCGCTATTGTCCAGGCTGGTCTCAAGCTCCTGGCCTCAAGTGATCTTCCCGCCTCAGCCTACCAGAGTGCTAGGATTATAGGCATGAGCCACTGTACCTGGCCTTGAAATGGCTACCTTTTAAATGGTTATATTGTTACCCACATAATATCCTTAATTTTGCTTCCTGGCCTGCAAACCCTAAAATATTTATTATATGGCTCTTTTTTTTTTTTTTTTGAGACAGAGTCTTGCTGTGTTGCCTGGGCTAGGGTGCCGGGGGGTCAGCCTAGCTCACAGCAACCTCGAACTCCTGAGCTCAAACAATCCGCCCGCCTCGGCCTCCCAGAGAGCTAGGATTACAGGCGTGAGCCACCATGCCCGGCCCTATATGGCCCTTTTAAGAAACAAGTTTACAAAGCTCTTATACAGAAAATATTTTGTATTTGCACTAAAATGCGACCATTTGGATTCCCAATACAGTACTACTTTTTGCCTACTGTTTACCAAAGCTGCTGCTCCAATCTCAATAAGCTGTTGGGATCTGTGTTGGCAGGAAGCCTATTTAGAACCTCATGTCTAAATGTATCAATGAGAATTCACATGCATCATGACATTTTCAAACAATGTTGAGAGCAGGAAGAATATAAACCACCACACCACTATTTCCCAAGCTGCAAGACAGTATCATTTCCAACTAATATTTTAACTGCTGGGATTTCTTTAAGGTGGTGGAAGAAAAGAGTCTAGTAAATTTATTTTGCTTAAACAAAGAGAACTCACGGCTTGTGTGGAGAGCATTTCGTTAATGCTGTGATCATACTGCTCTGCCAAGATGGCTAACTTCCGGGTCTGCTCCTCTTTTAGCCGTTTCAGAACAGCTTTGTGCTCACTCTTTGGTGTAGTCTCCAGTAGGTGATTCCTTAATGCTTTGTACTGTCTTGTTTGGATTTTGCAGGTATCCTGAAACTGCTTTTTTATTTGGAGTTCTTTAGACTGGGAAGAAAAAAATAGATGTATGTAAGATATAACATATGGCACTTGGTACACCTTATGTTTACTTACATGGAAATAAAGGCTATTAGGAAAAAGGGAAAGGAAAACCAAAAAGGTCAGATCACAAGGTTGCCAGTACTTTTGCACTCGGCTATTCAGCCAAATCGTTGATTGGATTCTACGCATTTTTCCAACAAAAACTCTCATTTAAAACATAACCCCATTTATAACAGGACTTCAAGCAGTATTTTTTTATTTCACTAATAAGTTTAGTGATTTGACTAAATACTAAAATTAACTTTGATTACTGTTATGTATTCATGACATAAAATCAAATTTTTTTCTCGTGAATTAGTATAGTAGATATAAAAGCACTTTACTGGCAAGAAAATATATTATCAGATCTCGAGGCAAAATACAAAGCACATTTATTCTGTTCCTTATCTGAAACACTTTGCTCCAATTTCTCTTAATGACAATTTCAACTCGGACTACACAGTCTATGTACCAAACTTGAGGATGAGTTGGAAGCCTCTATTTGTAACTGATCAATATTGTTATTACAATTGTCTTTTCCTTAAAAGAACAGGTAGAAATATACTTAGTAATGATTTACTCTTCTTTTTTTTTTGAGATAGAGTCTCACTCTGTTGCCTGGGCTAGAGTGCCGTGGCATCAGCCTAGCTCACAGCAACCTCAAACTCCTGGGCTCAAGCAATCCTACTGCCTCAGCCTCCCGAGTAGCTAGGACTACAGGCATGCGCCACCATGCCCGGCTAATTTTTTTTTTTTCTCTATTTTTAGTTGTTTGGCTAATTTCTTTCTATTTTTAGTTGAGACAGGGTCTCACTCTTGCTCGGGCTGGTCTCGAACTTCTGAGCTCAAGCAATCCTCCAGCCTCAGCCTCCAAGAGTGCTAGGATTACAGGAATGAGCCACTGTGCCTGGCCGATTTACTCTTTAACTCAAGCAAAAACTTGAAAGTCAGTCAAGTTAACTAACTTTTCAAAGGTCAAACAAAATTATGGGTGTAAGGGAAGGGATAACCCTCTTCTTAGGGTGACAACAGATATGACCTACAGTACATAAACATTTCTCAGATAAAAATAATTTGAGTTTACAGACATAAGACCTTTGGCTTTAGTGTTTATATTCTATGAACTAGGTTTTAAAAAGTTTTAATAAGGCATATTTCTATAAAGTATACTGGTTGATCTATAAGTGAAAATATATTCATTTACAACACTGAGGTACAACCTACAGTTAAAATTATTCTACCTTAATATAAAGACTGCCAGGTATTGATTGGTTCATTCAGTGTGCAACAAATGCATATATGACCAAATTTACACACTCACCTAGGAAAAGGTTTTTTCCTCCCTGTACTACATTAAATATACCCTCTTTCTATATGTTTCACCAACTGAGGCAGTACGTCCTAGTAATATACTTTTCTTCTGTGAGGGGTCAAGAAATGTCTAGCCAGAAAAAGAAACATGTTTTAGCTATGCTTAGTAGCACCATTCTTAAACGCTGTGTTTGGTTTAAAAGTTTTTCCAAGTGCTTCTAAACAGAAACAAAACAATGAAATTTAGATATTCTCTTCTGCCTCTGTGTATCAGCCTCAATTATTTTAAAAGTTTTTATTTTTAAAATATTGTGCCAATCATTCTATACCACAGACTAATGAGAAAAAAGAATTTCTTGAAAAATTTTTCCTCAACAAGAGTAAGATTAATGCTTATACCAAGAATAAAATATATCTCTCAATATTTGACTCAAGTGAAAGCAAGATGAATATGTTACAGTTATTTCTACTCATTTAATGCTTACAAAGCATCATCTGGATGGCAGCTGAAGAAATAGCAGAGTGGGCAGTAGATTTTTACCCAACCCAATTCACAGAAATAACATCTCTCCCCAGTAAATCCTAGTCACCATAGACAAGTATTCAAACTGAAGTCTCCTCTCCCCAGATTTAAAGTTTTGGAGAAGGTTTGAAGAAGAGAAGGTTTTAAGACGTTTACTTAGGTAAATAGAAATGAGATGACTTGGTGTTAAAATTTAGTCTGTTTTATTCAAATTGACTAAGCAGGGAGATATATGTAAAAGAGAGGAAAATGGTGATTTCTCTTCCCTACTAAAAGAAAAACCTTGAGCTCATTTGTCATCAGAAGGAGGCATTCTATTTAAAGTCAATGACAGTGAAACATTATTTCCTCCTCATTTTTTATTTAGTAGTTGAGAAAATCAGACTACTATTTACAAGCTTTCAAACTGAAAAGGCTCTAATGACAAGAAACAGAAAGGAAGGGTTAAACGTCAAACAACTCTCCATCACCCATGCCCGAAAGAAATGCAGTCATACCAGATTTATGGTAGGACTACAGAAAACTAACATGTTTTCAGTTAGGTTCATTCTTAGGTGCCACTGGCTTTAAAACCATAATTAATTTCACAGACAGGTCTTTTGGTGGGAAATTGCTCATTCTGCAGCCAAATGATTATATATCTGTCTACTGCAAAAATGAATAAATCTGAAAAATGATTATGAATTCCAATTTTTCTAAGTATTAAATAAGTAAGGTTATGTTGGTAGTCAACATAACTACTCTGTAAATGATGTTAATTAGCTGTTTTCAAAACATAGCAAAGTAAAATTTTACTCAGGTTCACATGGAAAGGGTAAAGCACCTTAACATTACTCTATACTTTGTTCAGGGCAGCGTGTTTGAATGGAGTGGGTGGGAATTGACAATACCATTGGGTGTGTTGTAGCTTCTAGATTCTGACAGAGATTATCTCTGTGAATGAATTTCACTTTACTCCAGCAGTTATTCAGAGTAAAGCCAAGTACAGTTTTATAGTTTAAATATCAAATAGTTTATAAAAAGGGCTGGGTAGGGTGTGGGGGAGCCTTTAAATAGGAAATACTGTGGGACCTGGGCCTTACTGGACATAAGTAAAAGTTTAAAATGTGCAGACATATCAGATCAAGTGAAGTGCTATCACTGATGACAGACTATACAGTGGGTGGTTTTTGTTTATTAATGTTCACGCTATGTTTATTACAAGTTATGAAATTTAAAAATTTCTTAGAATTGTTAACTCTGGTTGACTTTAGTGGAGGAGGATGGACCAGGTGGCAGGAGGAATAAGGAGAGAGAGGGGAAACCTTTTACTTGATAATGCACTTTCATATTTTTATTTTTTTTTATTTTTTTATTTTTTTGAGACAGAGTCTCACTGTGTTGCCCCGACTAGAGTGCAGTGGCGTCATCCTAGCTCACGGCAACCTCAAACTCCTGGGCTCAAGCGATCCTTCTGCCTCAGCCTCCTGAGTAGCTGGGACTACAGGCATGCGCCACCATG